CTTTTTCACGAAGAAAAAGCCAGCTCCTGCTGGGGAAGTAGACTTGCGAATTTGCCCCCCAGAAAGCGCATCCGCAACGTACTCCTCCATGGCCTGATTCTCTGCAACCGAAAGAGGATACACCTTACTATGCGGAGGAGTGGCACCGGGTTGTAAGGCTATGGCACAATCATATGGACGATGAGGAGGCAGAGCACAGGCGCGCACCTTGTCAAACACGTCCAGGTACTCCCATATTCAGTAGGCAACACCGAGTCCGAGGAGGCGCACAACCCCTTCACAGGTCCACGGATGCAACCGGGCCCCACACTGTGGCGACCATGAGAGAATCTCGGCCGACCACCAATCAAAGCTCGGATTGTGCTTCTGGAGCCAGGGATAGCCCAAAACGATGGAGTAGTGCGGGGAAGAAATTACCTGGAAACAGGCCAATTCCCTGTGAACAGCCCCAATAACTACTTCAACTGGCAGGGTCTCGTGGGTAACCTGCGACGGTTGCAGGGGCCGGCCATCTATCGCCTCGAGGACCAATGGAGCAACTCGAGGCTGCAGAGGAATGGAGTACTGGGCAGCAAACGAACTGTCCATAAACATCCCGCCAGCACCAGAGTCTACCAACGCCTGGGCCGTCACCGAGCCTCCCGGCCAAGAGAGGACAACGGTGATTAGCGGTTTATCTTTACGGGAAACCGGGGACGAGGAAACTCCACCTAAGATCTGCCCCCGACAGGATCTCAGGTGCGATCATTTCCCGGACGGACCAGACAGGACTGACGAAAATTCCCACCGAGACCACAGTACAGGCAGCGACCCTCCCGACGCTGAGAGGCCCCGCCCCCTCGGAAAGGCGAGCAAACCCCAGCTGCATGGGCTCACCACCAGACAAGCTATCCCCAGGAGGCGTGGGAGGAGAGGGAGGCACAGGTGGGACAAAAAACGTAGGCGCCAATCGGTTGAGAGGCCTCCACAGACGCTCCTTAAATGAAGGACTCTCTCTGAGCCTGGTGTCAATCAAGATTAGGAAGGAAATGAGTGCCTCTAGCTCTACAGGCAGTTCTTTGGGTGCAATCTCGTCCTTCAATGCATCTGAGAGACCATGAGAGAAAGCAGCAACCAGAGCCTCATTGTTCCAACCCACCTCTGCCGCCAGGGTACGAAATTCTATGGCATACTCGGCCACGGTTCGTGAACCTTGATACATGGACATGAGCAGCTTGGCAGCGGAGGCGTAGCGAGCAGGCACATCGAATACCGTACGGAAGGAGGCAACGAAACCGGCAAACTCGTGAATCACCGGGACATTCCTCTCCCATAAGGGATTTGCCCAGGCCAAGGCCTTGTCTGAGAGCAGCGAGATTAGGAAGCCCACCTTTGACCTCTCAGTAGGAAAAGCGTGGGGTATTAACTCAAAGTAAATGCCCACTTGGTTAAGGAAACCACGACACTGACTCGGCTCACCCCCAAAGCGCTGTGGAAGAGTGGCAGAACCAGTCATACCTCTAGGCACCGCGGGTGCAGCAACAGATGCAGAAGTAGGCGCAACCACCGGAGCAACAGTGGGAGCGACCACCGGAATGACAACCGACATAATAACCCCAGGGGTAAGGTGCGCTGTGCTTGCAAGCAGAGTCTGCAACGCCTGGGCAAACTGATCCAACAAGAGATCCTGTTGATCAAGTCTGGCGACTAACATAGGGAGCAAAGGCGTACCTGCACCGTCAAGATTCATGGCATTTGTGTAATGTCAGGGCAGGAGCGGTGGAATGGGCAGGCAGGCCTTTTGGTAAGGTCACGCACCGACTGACGACAGCCACCACCCACAGACCGGAGTCCCTCAGGGCGCGGAGTCTAAGCCCCAGGCTGCCTTTCACCAGGGCCCCTGATGGTGGGGATGGACTTGACGCAGACTGAGACCAGGTCGCGCCCCCCCCCCGAGTAACCCAGCTGCGGTAACTGCTGACGCCAATGGCGTTATAGCTGGTGGGGCCAGATGGGAAGATGTATAGCGTGGTCGGACAGTCCGGGTCAATAACAGTGGAACAGACAGTACAAGGCGGTAGGCAAGAATACTCAGGTCACGGGCCAGGTTCAGCAACGGGAGGTCAGGTAATGGGATAAGGCAAAGATTAGTCTTGTCAAAGCCGAGTCGGTTTCCAGGAAAGTCACGAGAGCTGAACGAGAGCTTGCTGCAATGTAAAATACAGGACACGAATGCAAAGAGCAACTGCAGACAGCAGGCTTAAATGTGATCAGCCACACCCTTCTGGAGGAGGAGCCGCAGAGGCCTGAAAGCATAAAGGCTCCCACCATGCTTTGCAGGAACTTAAGATGGATGCCAGCACATGGAGCAACACAAGCTCTGAGGAAAGGTAGGACCTTGACACCCATTGAGGATAATGAGAACCAAGATGTGAGATGTGACCTGGAGTCAGAACCATTCAACGTTCCAAACAAATCTTTAACAGACATACTCTCCAGGTTCAGTGGTAATGTTTAAAATTGGAATGAAGTGGTATTATCTTTGTTTTCTATGGAATGACAAGGGTGAATGACAGAAGGGAATGCCCATAGAGTATAATAAGAAGCAAGTTGTGGCTTGGAGTCAAAACCATCAGGTGTATAACAAAAAAAGTTAGTGAAACATAGCAAGTTGATTGTTGATGTTTAAAACTGAGATTAATCGCTTCTGCGCTACCCCATAGCAGAAAATACTGCTACAAGGTGACAGGGCTGCCCAAAATCATGTTTATATATACATGATTTTGCATTTCCAGGTAGGGGGCGCCCTACGTGCGTGTCCATTTGCGGCCTCGGCTGTCAATCACTGGGTCCCGGCGGTGATTCCCGATGGAGGGGAGACCTGTATGTAAATAACACAGATCTCTCCCCTGTCAGCTCCTGCACACTGCCCACATAGTAAAAACAGCACAGAGCACACAGTTAACCCTTTGATCACCCCAGATGTTAACTCCTTCCTGCCCAGTGTCATTAGTACAGTGTTATTGATTTTTTTTTAGCACTGATCACTGTATTGGTGTCACTGGAGATGTCAGTGACAGTCAGTTCCCCCCAGTGTCAGAATGCCCGCCGCAGTCCCAGAGTCCTGCTATAAGTCGCTGATTGTTGCCATTACTGGTATAAAAAAAATTCCAGGATATATACTGCCATTTGTAGACGCTATAACATTCACATAAAAACCAATTAATTTACATGTATTGGGATTTTTTTTAGCAAGGACATGTAGCAGAATACATTTTGGCTTAAATGTATGACGAAATGTGATTTTTGTTTTTTTACTGGATATGTTCAATAGTTTTTTTTTTTTTCAAAATTGTTGGTCTTTTTTTGTTTATAGCACAAAAAAAGAAAAAAAACACAGGCGATCAAATGCCACTGAAAGAAAGCTCTATTTGTGGGGAAAAAAGGACATACATATCATTTGGGTGCAGCATAGCGTGACTGCGCAATTGTCAGTTAAAGTAACACAGCGCCGTATCTCAAAAAAATGGCCTGGTCAGGAAGGGGTGCAAATCCTATGGAGGGTAAGTGGTTAAGTGGGATTATCAAGGGTGAATGACAGAATGGAATACCCATAGAATATAAAGTGAAGCAAGGTGTGGCTTGGAGTCAAAACCATTAGGTGTATGACATAAAAAAAACATTGGCAGACATACTCTGCAAATTAAATGGTGATGTTTAACGTTGAGAATAAGTGGGATTATCATTGCTTTCTATGGAATGGCAAGGGTTAATGACAGAAGGGATTGCCTATTGAGTATAATGGGAAGAAAAATAGACATATTTGTGTCATGTAACAATTTCACCTTTCCACAGGTGTTCCCCAAATAGAGTATCAGCTTGTAAAATTGAAATTATTTGGGATTATAGCTGTTTTCTAGGGAATGACAAAGGTGAATGACAGAATAGATGCTGATTGGGTATAATGGGAAATAAGATGTGACATTAGACATATCAAATAAACCTTTCATTGACATACTCTACAAGAAAACAATAATAATCCCACTTAATCTCAATTTCACACAAAGGAATGCCCCATAGAGTATAATGGGAAGCAAAATGTGACCTGGAGTCAGAAGCCTTAGACATATCACATAAATCCTTAGCAGACATACTCTGCACATTCAGTGCTGAGGTTTAACACCTTCCTGCCCAGTCGTCAATCTGCTATAGGACACTCACCATTGTGACTGGGCATCATATGACCTCATGTCAAAAGCAGCCGTTCGCAAGGCCTCGGAGCCACACAGCGGCGTGATCTGTCACATCTGATGACATGTCACTACACCAGCCCGTTGCCAGTGTCAATGTGACCGCTGTGACCCATATCATAGCAGATCATATGTCGATTGTATACAATGGACGGCTTCCTTGTTTGCTGTGATTGATCAAGGCAGTCACATGATACAGACAGGGGCAATCACAGCCCATCTGTATCCTGTGATGAGCTTTGACCAATCACAGCTAATCACAACAAAAGTCTGAATGAATCTGTTTTATTCAGTAACAATGATTGCAAATATAAATGAAATACATTGGTATGAGGAATCATAATGTGTACAAAAAAAAAATCCTGATCACTTGCCCAGAGTAGTTCAATGTTACTATGGTAACATCGTATTACTTTTTGGTTACAGTTTTTTGTGTTGAAAAAAACAATAGCAAAAAAGGAAAAATTAATGTAATAAGAAATAAAAAAATAATAGAAATGTTTAAAAAAAAAAAAAAAAAATTAACCACTTCCCGTCTGGCCATGTACATAAACGTCTGGACGGGAGCAGTGAAGGAGTGGGTTGCCGTTCATAAACGGTGTCCCCATATTTTCAGGCTATGTGCGCTCCCTGGGAGCAGTGCAGGGGCAGGTGGCCGTTTTATAAATCGTCCTCGCCGCTCCCTGCTTGTGTGCGCTCCTGGGAGACTTTGCGTGCGCAGCCACCACGATCAGGTGCCCACTGTGGTCCGGAGGACACAGCGGAAACACCGATCTGTGTGTGAGGTCCCGATCATGTGATCACTTATTGGCCAATCAGTGATCACATGAATAGTAGTAAGCAAGATGTCACTTCCTAACATCATTGCTTACGTACTAGTACTACTACTTGTGAAATCTGTGAATAATCACAAAGGTCACATGGTACAAGGCTATTCACAACAGCCTTGTATCATTGTGACAAGCTGTGACCAATCAAAGTTCTCACAGTATTTCTCAATGGCTGCAAGAATGCAGCCAGAGAAAAGGAGAAATTATTGCTTTTACAGCCTTTATGGGTGTAAAAAGCAATCAGTGTAAAAAAAAAAAATCTTCATCACCCCAACATGTAGTACAGTGTCACTGCTAGGGTGACAGTATGTTAAAAAAAAAAAACAAATAATAACTAAAAATAAATAAAATAAAAAATGTACACTGTTTTTTTTTTTAAATTATAATTTTTTGCTTATAAAACTAATTTGGGTTATCTTTTTTACTAAAAAGATAAACAAATACATTTTGGCCAAAGATTTATGTAGAAATATTATTTATTGCAAATTTTATTAAGAAAAACACTTTTCTTTCAAAAAAAAAAAAGTGCCCCGCTATTGCTGGAAAATGAGTTAATTTTCTGACAGTTGAAAATAATGACAGTTATTTTTGACAGTTGGAAAAATTACAGTCATTTTTGACAGTTGGAAAAAAGGACAGTTATTTTTGACAGTTGGAAAGTGGACAGTTGGAAAAGCCAGTTATTTTTACGTTGGAAAAAGCCAGTTATTTTTGAAGTTGGCAAGTGACAGTTAGAAAATGCCCGTTTTT